CTATTTTATATTGTATTTATTTACAGAGGTATATTATTTCACACTTCTCTAGTAAGTTTCGTCTGTGTGTGAAGACAGTAGCGCAAATCCGTGAATGAATGTTTCGAAGTGAAATAAACTTTAACGGAATAAAGTTGAATGGAATTGAATTGAATTAAAGTTGAATAAACTTCAACTTTACTGTTCAGTGCACTGATGTCAGACTCATTTTGGATAATAAAGTTTATTGTTAAATTGTTAAATGCCCTGCCTCCATTACGTATCTCTGTCTTGTCATTTATAAGTGTTTGATCACCACATTTGAATGTGTTTATGTATATATATTCTGTTTATGTATATACTGTATTCTATATATAGTACCAGTCAAATGGGTGGACACATGAATGGGAAAGTGTCCAAACTTTTGACTGGTACTGTACTATAATATACACAACGGCCTTTTTTACTCCCTAATATCGGTATCGGCCCCAAAAAACCCATATCGGTCGGGCTGTAGTAAATATGCTTTCCATTGGGGCAAAGAAGAGCATTTTAATATGCTAATAATTTCTTTAAAAAAAAATATACTGACCCCAAACTTCTAAATGGTAGTGTACATTACTGTAAAAACAAACAAACAAATACAGTGTTGTGTAATTGTAATTGCATAATCCTATTTGAGACTACTGTTCTTACTTCATATACTGTACTCCGTCTCTGTCTCTTTCTCTTAGATGCCGAAGGGCTCTGATGACTCCTGGGCTCAGAAACTGTATAACACTCATTTGAAGACGTGTGCACTTTTTGAAAAACCACGGATGTCCAATAAAGCTTTCATTATTCAGCACTTTGCAGATAAGGTATGCACACACACACACACACACACACACACACCTCACACTCGGGCTGGTTCAGCATTTCTGATCAACTGTGATATACACAGTGTGTGTCATTTCATATATCAATGTCTAAACAAAGACAAATGAGCTGCCTCACACTTACTGCATCTAAACAGTGCATAATCATTTCAACATATTAGCAGATTAACAGCATTCACTGCTTGCATAAGTGTCCCAGAAGTGTCCTAGACGTGACACTGAGACAATGTTTTGGTGTTGAGCTTATTTTTGCTGTGTGACACAAGCTGAACTCAGCAGGAAATACTGACACTCTACTTTAAAACTATTTATCAAAACAATATTTTTAGTAATATAAAGCAATATACGATCGTGGAGCAGTTTAATCATGCATTGTCAAAATTCATGTACAGTAACAGGTAGAAAAATGCTTCCTGTTCAGTAAATCTGACTGAATCCAGGTGAGTTATGCAGTTCATCTGGAGAATGATTACCATTTGAATATACATGTTATCAACCTCATATAAAATAGATCACAATATTTAAGTTTGTACTTTTAATTTAATTTAATTTGCTACGTGTACTGCGTTAGGCTAACCGAGACTTGTCATTTGCACTTATATATCGTTGCTCTTTTGTTAGTTTTGACTGCTTTTATTGTCCTCATTTGTAAGTCGCTTTGGATAAAAGCGTCTGCTAAATTACTAAATGTAAATGTAAATGTACTTTTAACTCTGCATATGCTCTTGTCAGATGGGCCACTGATGTATTATATGTGAAACAGGCCTACCATTTAAAGACAATAAATACTAATAGATATAAAATAGTTCTAAAAAATGCATTAGAGTATAAGTTTGTTAGCTTAGCAACATGCTAACACCAGAAGTCGAGTCTCCTGTGTGCACTATTTGTATGACACAGCAACTGCTGCATACATCCTCACATGAGCTCATGATGGCTACAGTTCTGTTTTTAGAAACGGTGTTCAATATCTGTGAGGAAGCACTGATGGAGAAGGGGGTGTGGGTAATGAGACACATTTAGAGTGTGTGATAGACATTCAGTAAACACACATTGTCGAATCAGGGTTTGAGCATTAGTAGGTGCTTTCTCAAACATCCTCAGGGTTAAATCACTTCAGTCTCTAATCAGCATTACTAATATAAATGAAAGTCTAAATCATATAAATTTAATAGAATGCATAATATAACGTCATTTATGCCCAGTGGAAAACAGGGAGGTTAATGGAGCTCTTAGCTATAATTTATTTAAGTACAATGACTAATTGATCTCAGATGTTTGTTCTGAAATAAAACGGGTTACAAAAGTATAAATAAATCTTGGCAACACTTAACAGTAAAATTCAAATGATTAAAGTTGGTTAATCAGGTACAATATCATGATTTTGATTTTTGCAGCATTTAAGTTGGCATAAAATTTAAGTTGCGATAACCTTTTTTCCATATTATTGCATATGTTTAAAATATATATAATGATTTGCACAAATTAATCATTTATAAAAACACTACAACATTCCATAAAAATAAGAACGTATTGGTGATTTAACAATGTTAATGTTTTATTCATGCCTATACTTGGAATGTAAAATTGTATTGATATATGTCGAAGTTAACATTAACCTAGGTTAACAAATGGTGTAAACTGCATTATTGTTAATTTTTATTTCATGTCAGCTATTATGTGGACTAACTAAATCGTACCTCAATAATACTAAAATAACAGTATGTATGAAACCTTATTGTAAAGTTTTTCTCAAATTTTACAATATAAAGACTTGACCAAAATTTAAGAAGAATGGAGTAGTATTTTTTTATTATTATTATTGTTTGCTTTCCATGTAATTGCTATGGAAGGCCATTTTTGCCATTTGAATAAAAAATAAATTAAAAAGGTAGTTGCGACTTTTTAATCTCACAATTCTGACTTTTTATAAGAATTGCGTAATACAAACTCACAATTCTCACTTTTTTCTCAGAATTGTGAGATTTAAACTCGAAATTGCGAGTTATCAGAATAGTGGGATGTAAACTTGCAATTGCGAGAAATAAAGTAAAAATTGCAAGATCAAAACTCGCTATTCTGACTTTTTTTCTCACAAATGTGAGTTCGTATCTCACAATTCTGACTTTTTTCCTCAAAATTGTGAGATATAAACTTGTGATTGCAAGTTATGAATTCCAATTCTGAGGCGGGAAAGCGACTGATATGTTCTGAGTTTATATCTATTCAGATCCTCGTTCATGGATTTTTTAATTTCACTTTCTTATTGGATAACCTCACATGTCTGTCTGTGTCTGTCAGGTGGAGTATCAGTGTGATGGTTTTCTGGAGAAGAATAAAGACACAGTGAATGAGGAGCAGATACATGTTCTGAAGGCCAGTAAGGTGAGTGAATATCTGTCGCCATCGGTCAATTTTCACAGAAAGATAATGCCCTTAACACCTTAAATAAGTCAGGCTAAACTGGCATAAAAAAATAACCAACCTTCAGTGTTAGCTGTAGCCAGGGTATTTTCGTCCAAGATTTTTGACCTTAAATGAGGCTTAAAGTCTGAGAAGGTCAATGGAAGGATGCCATCTGCTGGTCAAGGAGCATTAGTGTGGTCCATTGCCACAGTTCCAACATGATATGTGCAAAACTCATGGGAGTATATGTTCATATTTCTAGTTGTTTGGATTCTTACATATCCTTGTCCTGTCTTAGTTCACTGCAATATTGAGTCACATTATCTATAGATCAGAGTTGTTTTGAAGCTCTAGCACAGAGCATTAGCATGACTCAGCAGCTCTGTGCTCTGTGTTAATGAGACAGGTTCAGACAGAACGCCACTGCATACCCTACCTGTTATGAAATCAATCATCATGCCATCAGCTGTGCCTTCAGGGCCAGGGGTGTGTTTTGTGGATTTTTCAGGAAGGTATTCAAACATATTTCATAATCGAGACACAGGCAAGGCAGCCAAAGGTACGCTGAATGAAAGCCTCCATAGATCAAAGTTTCTCAACTTTTCACAACTTATGGCCACATAATGTGTGGCACTGAAGATATCGAATTGTAATATCATAGCATTTTGATATAAATCATGGCATTAAATGATTTCAGTATTTATTTGCCATGGTATTTTCTTGGTACTCCAAGGTATATCCAAGAATACCATTGTGCTATGTTTTTTTACCTTTTTTTTCAAGTTATGCTCAACTCGGATATATTTAAAAATGAAATCTCTGAAAAATGGCTTTAAAATAAAATAAAAATAGCTCATAAACAAACACAAAGACATGGAACTTAATTAACTAAAAGGGTGTGTTTTGTGGATTTTTCAGGAAGGTATTCAAACATATTTCATAATCGAGACACAGGCAAGGCAGCCAAAGGTACGCTGAATGAAAGCCTCCATAGATCAAAGTTTCTCAACTTTTCACAACTTATGGCCACATAATGTGTGGCACTGAAGATATCGAATTGTAATATCATAGCATTTTGATATAAATCATGGCATTAAATGATTTCAGTATTTATTTGCCATGGTATTTTCTTGGTACTCCAAGGTATATCCAAGAATACCATTGTGCTATGTTTTTTTACCTTTTTTTCAAGTTATGCTCAACTCGGATATATTTAAAAATGAAATCTCTGAAAAATGGCTTTAAAATAAAAATAGCTCATAAACAAACACAAAGACATGGAACTTAATTAACTAAAAAGATCAGAATCCAATACTTATATTCACTCAAATGATTCAGAAAATGTGAGTGGACTTTAAGTGCATTTTGGTTCTTGTAAAATCATTTTCTTCTGTATTTGGGGGTTTCTGAATGCTCTCTAATGCTTTGTCTCCTCAGCGTGAGGCAGTAAATGTGTGTGGTAAGAGCAAACTCATGCTGTACTAATCCAAACTGCCTGGGAATAATAATAATAATGCCTCAAACGGAGTCAAGTCAACTATTATTTAAAAAGTTATTAACTATTCATATTAGTAATAGGCTCGGCTCTCTGGTGCTTATCCAGATCAGTCTGTTAGTGATTAATCCAAATCCTTCACTTCACTTGTTCCACAGGTCAGCTGGTTTTACCATATTCATTTTGATTTACATTCATATCATTGATCATTACGTCTGTTCATATCATCATGCGTGTATTTGCTTACCATCTATCATGTACCCATTTATATTTTCACAGGAATTAGAAATAAAGCCAGGCACCAGCTAAAAATCCTTTTTTTCCAAATTGAGAAGCTTTTCAATGTTTCTTCATCATTTATTTGGCCTTTATCAACTTTTCAAGCTTCACTCTAAGGCTTTGTCCACATTAATGCAGATAGATTTGAAAATGCATCTCGTTTTTGTCCTTTTGCCCATGCTGACATGCAAAAAATTTTGTCCAGCAAAAACTTTTTTGAAGTGCTTTCCCAAGTGTATATGTTTCAAAACATGTTTGAAAATGATGAGTATATACAATATAACTAGTGCATTGTTGTGCCTGCTATTCAGTTTAAAAAGGCCATGCAATGCTTTTTAATGTTTTCCTTTTATTTTAGTATGTAGTATCTCGTTGTGCAAATAGCATCATACCTCTTTAATAATGTTGCTTAAGATAAATGTTACTTTGTACAATCTTCATATTACTTTACTGCAAAGATGATGGAATATTTAATCGCAATTGCTGACTTGCTGCAAAAGAAGATGACAGTTGTGTTTTAGAAAATACATGGAATCTTGATTTTGAGTGGTGGGATATTTCACTAATAAACTGGTCATACAAGAAGAATAGTGTGAGAACTTTATTATGTTTGTTTTGTCAGTATCATCTCAGTGAGTGGTTATGACGTTTTGTGAGCGGTTTGAAATGGAATATGCCATTTTTGAATAGAATTGGATTAATGTGGACATAGCCGAAGAGGAATTCTGTTTAGACCGTTCAGTCTCAGTTAGGAATTTAGAAAACAAGCTAAATCTAGTTTATTAAATAGGAGCCGACATAACAATATGCGTTAGAGCTGGTGTCTGAGCTGCTTTGCTGTTCAGCTAGTACATTATATACATCTGTCTGATGTATCTGTATTTTCTGCATTTGTTAATTCTGTTTCTATTTTCTCATCATTGTGTCATGTTGTCTATGTGTTGTTTGTGAACATGACAACCTGTACCCCTGCAGAAGGTAAAATTTAGCTCTGTCTCTTTAGCTCTCTCGCTGTCCAAAATCACTGCAGTCCTGCTATACAAAAATCAAGATTGGATGCATGTTGGGTTGGATGTGTGTGTGTGTGTGTGTGTGTGTGTGTGTGTGTGTGTGTGTGTGTGTATCAGCATGTTCAGTCTGTTGCTTTCTGCTGTGCAGGACACAATTTCAGCACTGCATTGACTCTATAAGAAAATAAATCCCGCTTCAACTCTAGAGCCTCCAAACACCATCCAAACAAACTCAACCACCCCAATAACATGAAACATCTGTTTGACATTAGCTGGACTGTTTGTCCTTTTAGTACTTATTTTATACTCTTAAAGGGACAGTTCACCAAGAAATAAATATTCTGTCATTATTTGCTAAAAGTCTTTCGCTCCACTGCAACTTTCAAATCAAAAACAGGTTTGTAAAAAATAAAAAATAAATAAAAAAACTGTTTTGTTAGAATATGTAAGGTGAATATTGGTCCCAATAGGAAATACATTTTGTTATTTTTTTAAGGATAAATGGCACACTTCGAGAGCAAAATTAAGAGCTCATAGAGCTTCATTATTATTACACATAAGGCAGTAATATATTACCATTTAATACAACTACACTGTAAAATAATGTGAATGAAAAATAAATATTTCTTGCAAAATTTAAATCCTCAAGCTTCTGGTTTGGTTGGCTGTTTCTGTGAAAACAGGTTTACAAATGCATTTCATTACAAATCTAGTAAGTATAATTATTATTTTACTTACAGTAGTAAAATTAGAATACTTAATTTCTTCACTTGCAATTGTTAAACCCTGTCTTTTATTTTTTTTTTAAATGCTGTTTCTGTAAAATTAGGATGTAATCATCTGTCCACAAAATGTTGAAAATTATGCAAATGTGAAAATAACGCTGTGGCATGTTGCATTCCCAAATGTGAAATAAATTTGAACACTGTGCCACAAGCATTAGAGCACTTATTTAATTAAATGACAGGCTTTTAGTTTGATTGACAGATGCTTTGCCAAAGAAATGGCGCAAAACACAATGTTGGAAATCTTGAGAAGAGTATAAATATTTTAGGATGAAATTTAGGTAATTAATGGGAAACACTGAAAAATAACAACATTTAAGTTTAGAACAATCTGATGGGCAATAAATATTGACAGAATTTTCATTTTTTGGGTGAACTGTTCCTAAAAATGCAACAGCTGAAGACATCGATATGTACTACACATAGACCAAAAAGTGCAGGCTTAACACAGAGTTGGAGTTTGTTTGTTTGCTGTGGGTTGGGATTTGATGTTTAAATTGTTGGTCCCATAAGGACTCTTATTTTATGCTTAGGCTGCATGCTGCGTAGTACCAGCACTAGCGTCCCTCAGTGCTCAAACTCTTGGCAATCAATGTAAACGAGACTCCAGGGACATTACTCAGACATGGCCTTTTCTGTTCATTACTATCCCACTTTATACCATTTGCTTGTCTTGATGTGCATACTTCTTAATTATGACAGAATTGCTTAGTGTTGTTTTCTATGTGGTTAATCTGGATTAAAAGTGGTACTTTGAGTGCAAACATTTAGTTCAGGTAACAAAGGCCACAAAACCTTGCTAAGTTTTGGGAGTGATAAATGCTCCAGTGTCTCATGCCTGTACAAAAGCATGAATGCTAACCGTTTAACACAGTTCGGTTGAGAATTCAATTGCAACTACCTGAATTTTTCAGGAGTGAAAACCTGGCTCAGCTGCATTCAAAGCCGTTGTAAAATACTCTATAAACACATACCTGTGACATCATTACATCAGTATTACTGTGTTTGTGCATTTATTTTATGAATATTTGCCAGGTAAATATAGTTACCGGCCATTTTATAAAAGCAGTCCTGTGAAGCTATAGTTTACAGAGTTTTTAGAAAGCTAAGGGTATTTCAGTCACAGTCACATTTACCATTGCTCTGTGCATTTTCGTGGGTGAAATGCAGTTATTCTAACAGGAATTTGCATGATCAGGAGTTTTGCGAGAGAGCAAGAAAGTTCCCACTGTAAACCATGGCTTTTTGGGCTTATAGCTGTAGTAAAATGCAGTTGTCATTAACGTAAACAACTAAACGGTGTATATAACAGGCTTAAGAACTCAGAACAGTAGTGACAACTGGATTTAATTGTAGCTTAAATAAAATAACATTGAGTTTAATTATGTTTTGAATAACTAATGACAGTTTTTTTTTTTTTTTTGTTAGATCCTTGCTTCATTTCTAAGTCAAAAAGTGCCTCTGATTGATCATCTGATCTGAACACCTGTCGTGGCTTGTATGTTAAGTCTGCCTTGGCTGTAATTCTCAGTTTGACCTGCTGGTGGAGCTGTTCCAGGATGAGGAGAAAGCCACAAGTCCGACCGGTGCTGCTCTTGCTACTGGAGGACGCACTCGCCTCAGCGTCAAACCAGGCAAGAACAAAGCCGGCCAAGCCAGCAAAGAACACAAGAAGACAGTCGGACTGCAGGTGGAAGACTGCTCTCGTCTTAACTTATTTTCACTTTTACTGAATATCTTTATGATTTTTATTTTTGGGTTAAGTAAATTGATAAGCACCGACAATGGATGAGATTAAAAAGAGACTAATTTAAATGAATGTGTCCATTTCTCTCTCTCTCTCTGTAGTTCCGTAACTCTCTGCAGCTGCTGATGGAGACACTGAATGCGACTACACCACATTACGTTCGCTGCATAAAACCCAACGATTACAAATATGCCTTCACGTCAGTTCTTCTACTGTTTTTAATTGAACTATCTGTGTATCTCTCTATCTCTCTCTCTCTCTCTCTCTCACTCTCTCTCTCTAAGCATACACATGATGTGATCACAAGTTGAGATTCGCTGATATTTTTTAATTGTCAGTTTTCTAATATGTAGATTAGGCCTGCCCTCAAAGAATAGTTGGGTAAGTGATTTCGCTATGTCAAGGAGACGTAGCTAAAAAAAAAATTTAAAAAAACATTATATGAACTTCCAATAAAGATGCTGTAGTTACAAACATTGAACAGGCTGGGCCAGCTGACCAATCACAGCACACTGGGCTTATCAGAAAGCGAGCTTTAAAAGAGATGGGAACTTAAACAGAGCGTTTCAGACAGAGGGCAAATAAGGTGCTGCAGCAATGTAAATTATGGGAATTTTAAAAACATGAATTTTTAGCAGACCCCCAAAATATGAGTACTTTAACAGACAATTGTAAGCATACACCATGAACAGTAAAAACTTGATTAATTCTCAGTTGAATCTACCAGCAGCATGTAGCTTAGCTAATGAGTCATAAAAATATGTTTCACATTCATTACAGAAACAATTTTACCTAAAATAGATTTCGATCAACTTCATCTGGCATTTTACATGACAATTGTTTTACATATATTAAAGCTGTGGTGAGTAATTTGTGTGACACCTGCACCACTAGCAGTAGTATTGCTCATGTTGTACATTAATTATTTTATTACTTAGGTTAGTATAAGTATTTTGATTAAGTTATTTCAAGTAATGATTTTTTTAATGGTTTCAGTTTTAACTAACAAGAGTAACCTTGGTAAATATATTGTTTTAAGGCCCGTTCACAACAAGGACGATAACTATAAAGATAATGATAAAGATATAGTTCTAAAAATCATTGTCAATATTAAAGATTAGCAGAGTCCACACCACAGCTATAACACTAATCACTATAACGGAATCGCTTTCAGAATGATTTTTTTTTTTCAGCTGATGAATGATAAAAACATTGACACCCAATCAGAATCCATCCTGCTGTCACGAGCTCGAGAATTTAAAGTGGCAGACGAGTGTACGCTGAGAATAAACAGACGATATCGTTCGCTGGTGTGGACCCTAATATAGTTATCTGTATAGTTATTGTTCTTGATGTGAACGGGACTTTAGAATGTAGCAAACAAGTACTGTTGGTGCGCCCCATACACACACCATTGGTTGAGTCATGGTGGAATGCTCAAAAGAGCAATGTTTTGGCAACACCAAAGTGTGCAGTTCTCTTCACAAATCGAATCTCTTAATTTCATACTTTCATGTGTCTCAGTTGACTCTGTTTTGAACTATTTTATAACAGTGGCCTTTGCAGAATTGATGGTGAGCTATTAGGAACACAGTGTTGCTAGGCTGATATCTGATTTCTGTCATTACGGTTAGTATTAGTATTTTGATTATTTTCTTTCAAGTAATGATTTTTTTAAAATGATTTTTGTTTTAATTAATGAGAGTAACCTTGGTAAATATATTGTGCTAGAATGTAGCAAACGAGTACAGTTGATGTGCCCCATACACACACCATTGGTTGAGTCATGGTGGAATGCTCAAAAGAGCAATGTTTTGGCAACACCAAAGTGTGCAGTTCTCTTCACAAATCGAATCTCTTAATTTCATACTTTCATGTGTCTCAGTTGACTCTGTTTTGAACTATTTTATAACAGTGGCCTTTGCAGAATTGATGGTGAGCTATTAGGAACACAGTGTTGCTAGGCTGATATCTGATTTCTGTCATTACCAGGTTTGACCCCAAGAGGGCAGTGCAGCAACTGCGTGCATGTGGTGTTTTGGAAACAATCCGGATTTCTGCAGCTGGTTTCCCATCTAGGTACCGTGAAGTTCTTTACATTACCATACTGCACTCCCTTTTGTCAAACACTACCTGACTGTATATTTGTGTTTGTGTGATTGCTTTTGCTTGTCAGGTGGACGTATCAGGAGTTCTTTAGCAGGTATCGTGTCCTGATGAAACAAAAAGATGTTTTGACAGACAAGAAGATGACCTGTAAGAATGTTCTGGAGAAACTGGTGCAGGTACAACAAGCCAATTAAGTCATCTCATGAAATCATACTGGTACTCTGGATAGACTTTGTGCAAAGACCATAATATAATAGGCTCTTAAACTAAAACTACTCAGAAACTTAGCAAGCAGCAGAATGCCAGAATTTGGCACTACTCACATTTTCTGTAGAAAATTTGGCTGAAAGTAAAGTTTGACTGATGAATGATGATAAATTAATTCTCTCTCTACTTTTTTGTCCTCCTAATAGGATCCAGATAAGTACCAGTTTGGCAAGACCAAGATCTTTTTTCGCGCAGGGCAGGTTGCGTATCTGGAGAAACTGCGTGCAGATAAGCTGCGTGCTGCCTGCATCCGCATCCAGAAGACCATCCGCTGCTGGCTGGCACGCAAGAAGTACCTGCGCATGAAACATGCTGCCACAACCATCCAGAGATACGTCCGTGGATACCAGGCCCGCTGGTGAGGGGGAGGGGACTAATCCCATAGTGGGTGGGGCCTGGCTAAGGTTATGAAAAATTCAACAAATCAAAATAAGCTTACAGCGAGCAACATTACCTGCCCACTTTTTTCACAGAGTTGGTTCCTGAAGTTTTTTTCTTTCATTTTAATAGAAAGCTAGTGTTTGTTTGTTTTTTGTTTTTTTTGTTTAAAAAAAAAAAAAAAGATAAATATAGATAAAGTAGAATTAAAATAGAATAGAAAGTGTTAGAGTTAGAGGGTCAAATAAAGGTGAAAAATAGAAAAAAAATTCCAATAGAGATTTACAAAAAGTCTTTGTTTAAACCGTTATAAGCCTCAAACCAAACCAAACAGCACCAAAATGGGAGATGTCGAGTATTTAATAAGAAACAATATATTATTAGAGTTTTGCAAAATATGCATATTCACAAATATTAAAGTAGCTGGTCTTTCTTTTGGCACTATTTGCTCATGGCATATCTCTAAATGGTGGAATTGTGGGTAATGTAGTTTTGCAGAATCTTGGGAATGTAGTTTTTGACCAAGAATTACTCTGTTAGACATGATTCTTTTGAAAAACAGGTTGAAATAATGTGAACCTTGGAGCTCACACAGTATATATCCACCGTTTCAGGGTTTGTAAGTTATTGTTAAAAATCCATTTCCCTGCTGAGAAACTTTAAAGGGATTTTTATTTCCGGACCCAAACTCTTGCACTGTTTTTAAGTGAGAAGGTGCACAAGTACAGTAGTAACCTCTGAGTTGTTCTTTCTTCCCCACAGTCTTGCAAAATTCCTGCGTCGCACACGTGCTGCGATCATCATTCAGAAGTACCAGCGCATGTATGTCCAGAGAACATGTTACAAACGCAAGCAGGCTGCCGCTCTGGTCATGCAGTGCATCCTCAGGGCGTACATGGCCAGACAGCTGTACAAAGCGGTGAGGAGGAAACCAGACATACTAATACACTCTTCTCACATTTATAAATATATTTGCAGCAGTCACAAACACACGACTCACAAACACTGCTCTACTGGTCTCATTACTGCATTTTTACATGCATCTTTTTTTTGTATTTCCAATTTAGTTCTGATCTTAACATTTAAACAAATACTGACACGGGTTACATATTGATATACATCAGGGTAAAATATAATGCTGGCGGGGTGGTTTATAATTAACACACTGGAAACAAGTGAATTATTTCAGGCATGAGACACATGACCAGTGAAAGCTGCTAACCCCTAGAGAACTGAATGGTGTTAAAGGTGCAGTCAACCAAGGAGCAGGCTGTTCCAGTGTAGGGACTGTCCCATTGACGGACCACAGCAGCTGCGGCTGTATTATTACTCTTACTGTCTCTCTCTCCTCTCTTTTCCTGCCGTCAGAGCTCTGTTGATCAGCTGTGGATTATCGAGGCAGGATGTGTAATATCTGCAAATTAAAAAGGCAGAAGGTGTGAGAGAAAAAAGCGATTTGAGAACACTCACTGGACTGATCTCTACTTTGCATTGCATTCTTCTTAACTCTTGTGTGTATTTATGTTTTTTTTCCTGTTCATCATGTGTTGTTGTGTGTTTGTTTAGCTTCTGCGTGAGCACAAGGCCATCATCATTCAGAAGATGGTCCGAGGCTGGTTGGCGCGGCAGTGGTACAAGCGGACGCTCGAAGCCATCGTTTACCTGCAGTGCTGCATCCGCCGCATGCGAGCCAAGCGAGAACTCAAGAAGCTCAAGATCGAAGCACGTTCGGTGGAACACTTCAAGAAACTTAACATCGGCATGGAGAACAAGATCATGCAACTGCAGCGCAGGATAGACGACCAGGTACCACACTTCACACTAAGATGCTGTGGCTTGTTGTGCCTCATTTAAAAAGACCAGTCAGGATGAAATCATTATGGTCGTTACTGGTCTTCTTGTGCACAATTCATTATTCCAAAAAAAGTTAGTATTCATTATTGTTCATAAAATGTAGCTTGCTCTGCCTATGAAACAAATTAGTCCTTCCATCCAGCCAGCTGTCATGTCAATACTACTTTTCACAGTCAAATCCCACCCTTGTTTTTTCATTGAATATCATTATTCAGTCGAAAAGACATCAGGTTATGGAAGAGAAACAGGTTGAAAGCACGCAGTGTTAACTTGATTCTTGTTGTTTTAGTTCCTTTAGAATGAGTCAGAATCTGTTAGCAGGACATGATCACATCATCTAGATCTTGGCTTCCCTGTGCAGAATCTTTGTGTATATGTATGTAGCTGTCGGTATAATACTTGATTTTAAAGACAAAGTGTAATTGTTACAGTATGTAGGTGCAATGTAAATTCAAAGGTGTTGCACAGTAGGGTTCAAACATCTGAATCCACATTGAAAAATAATTTTATTTGGACACTGGGTTCAAAATTGTATTTAAACTTAAAAGAAACATGCTTTTGGGATTTCGAAAAATGCAAAACAACAAATAAAAATGAGAAAGAAATATTTAAGACGAACTCAAGTTCAAGTAAAATTGCTCAAATTCCCAAGAATAATCCTTTATATATACATATTGTATATTTATTTTATATATACATTGAAAAAACATTTTGTTTTGTATTTGCATATGCGTTTTATGTTTTGATACATCAGGCTTTTATGGCTTGCATAGTATAATATAGTGAGAACATATAGCTCACACATGAGGAGGAAAAAAACACTTACATTTTATTTAAAGGCCCAAAATGGGCAAAATATGCAATTTGGTCAGATGCTTTTATGTATATGGCCAAAAAGTAAGAAGAATTGCTGATTGCTTGTAAAGTAAATCAATTAGATTTTTGTATAGCAGACTAGTTACTAGTTAAATGCATGTGAAAATCAGTTGTAAGTCTGTGTTTTCCAATAATATGTCTTAGTAAGATTACATTTAAAGTTTTGTAAACAAGTTCAAGCTCTGTAGTTTTTATTGTGGGGGGCAACACAGTACAATGATGGTTGAGAGATGTACAAATAAATGTTACTCAAAAGCCTGTTCAAGCCTGTATCAAATATCATGGTATACTTATGTTTTAACATGATTTTTCAATCAACTAAACCTAACTTTCTTCTGTCTAGGAAATGTTCATCTTGAAATATTACTAAAAATATAAAAGTTATCTTATGTTTACTTTATAAGAACAAGTACAATTTTCACAGCAAAAGGATCTGTACAACAACCTGAAGGTGGACTTTTTTTATTTTTTTAAATATGCTTAAAAGGACTTTTTACGTACTAAAAAGAATGAACTGTCAATCAGAGTGCAGAAGGTTTTGATCCTGTTTATCATTTATAGGCCTTAGTAACTGATGTATCAAATACAGTATGCTGCCCTAGGATTTGTAGGGTTAAATACAATTAATTGATGTTCTGTTTTGCTTTCATTCTAGAACAAGGAGAACCGTGTTATCAGCGAGCGTTTGAACAGTCTAGAGGTCAGCCATGCTGCAGAGTCTGAGCGTCTGCGTGTAGAATTGACGCGTCTGCGAGGGGCAGAAGAGGACGCCAAAAACAATGCCAACAAAGTTACATCTCTTCTGGAAGAGCTGGAGCGACTGCGCAAAGACCTGCAGAACACACGGAAGGAGAAGAAAGCAATCGAGGACTGGGCACAAACCTACCAGGACGAGATGGAAAAGGTGCTGTTAGTTCAGATATGTAGTTGTGTGCAGATGTGATGTGCCTGCACTGGTGCGGGCTTCACAAAGCACTTTACAAAAAGTTGAGGGCGATTCACGAATCAGTTTGTTTGTGTCATTGAAAAAAACTATAAAAATGAACAGATTTATTTATTTAATGAGTCATCACCCAGTTATGTTCCTTAGAAGGCAATTCATTTGGTCAGGGAACTGATTCACTGATGCATTTGAGTAGTCTCCCATTGGTGTTCCTTTAAAGAGGGTTCATTTGAATGGTTCATTTCACTGGACTCCAAAAACAATGCCAACAAAGTTACATCTCTTCTGGAAGAGCTGGAGCGACTGCGCAAAGACCTGCAGAACACACGGAAGGAGAAGAAAGCAATCGAGGACTGGGCACAAACCTACCAGGACGAGATGGAAAAGGTGCTGTTAGTTCAGATATGTAGTTGTGTGCAGATGTGATGTGCCTGCACTGGTGCGGGCTTCACAAAGCACTTTACAAAAAGTTGAGGGCGATTCACGAATCAGTTTGTTTGTGTCATTGAAAAAAAATATAAAAATGAACAGATTTATTTATTTAATGAGTCATCACCCAGTTATGTTCCTTAGAAGGCAATTAATTTGGACAGGGAACTGATTCACTGATGCATTTGAGTAGTCTCCCATTGGTGTTCCTTTAAAGAGGGTTCATTTGAATGGTTCATTTCACTGGACTGACTCATAAAACTGATTCATTACTAAGTAGTGTTTAATTGATCAGTTCATTTGAATGGCTCATATCGACTGAGTCAAAAAAGTGATTAATTACATTTTCATGGTTCTGATGCCCCAAAGTTCTCCCATACTAATGTGCAAAATCTTTGAACATAACAGAATAATTTCTAAGAGCCTGTTAACAATGTCCAAATTATTAGTGTACGACTCATATATAAATGAATCATTTATAAACAGTAAGTGTGTTTTTGATATGTGTGTTGAGTGTTCATACAAAACCTCACTAATCATGTGGCATACATTAGCAAATTTCCACAGAAGGTCCCCCAAAAAAGTAAAGTTAGACCCATAGGTTACCTTCACTCCCTTGCTTTTAGACAGTCCGCCTAGATTGTCAAGCCCTCTAAAGACACAGATATACTCTGTGTCTCCATATTCAGGGATTAGAGAGACCTGCACACTGCCTTAAACCTGGAAAGAGAAGAGATCTGTTCATTGACACAGGTGAGAGAGATAGAGACTAGAGCTCAGCTTAGATGTTAGAAGTAGTTGTAGTTTTAGGGTGGTAGAGGACTAGAACGATTCACGAAGCCACAATAAACAAAGTACTGGGAGTGTGTTGAGTAAATAAATATTTCTCAGCAGTTAAAACAATGTTCCTGGGTCAATACAAGCATCTGTGACATAAACAGTGTAGTTTATTTTTTTAATATAACCATTAAAGTTTAAGATGTCATAATGATTACGTTTGTGAAATGTTTGTAACAGATGATCTCAGAACTAAAGGAGCAAAACCACCTGCTGAAGAACGAGAAAAACGACCTGAACCGACTGATCAAAGAACAGAGCCAGCAGTGGACAGGTAAAGCAAAACTGTGCAAAAACCTCTGTCATTCTATTAGGCTTAGAGTTTTTTTTTTTAATGTGTTAATAATATTAAAACAACAGTGGAATATATTGCCCATGAATATACTGCCCAGTCTGATGCTATTCTGACTATTCCTAGATCTGCTCAGATCTTAAAGGGGTCATATGATGCGATTTCAATTTTTCCTTTCTCTTTGGAGTGTTACAAGCTCTTGGTGCATAAAGAAGATCTGTAAAGTTGCAAAGACTAAAGTCTCAAATCCAAAGAGATATTCTTTATTAAAGTTAAGAGTCAGCCACACCTACCTAAAACGGCTCGTTCTAACACACCCCCACATACCTACGTCACGATCTCGGAAGATTTGCATAACGCCGCCCAAACGTTCACGCAAAGAAAGAAGCCGTAACTTTTATTCTCGCTGTAGTATTGTTGCCGCCGCCGCCATGTCGTGAAGGCGCTGTGTAATCAGAATGAGCTTTATTGCCAGGTATGTTTACACA